CCGATTTCGACGTTCTTTATATCCACGCGTAGGTGAGACTATGCTCTACAACTCTCGTTTAGTCTTCGTCGGCTAATTTTGAATTTATTTTTTTTATTATATTATTTTTAGTAGGCCGGGACACGAAAACTCCGTTAGAAATTCATAACTTCTTCATCTGACATCCGTTTCCGTCTGTCTTTTTACCGCTGGACTACTAACGACAAGATCTTCGATTCTCGTTTAGATTGTTTCGGCCAAATATCACTCGATCTCAATTTCGAGATTTGGGCTGCATACCGCTAAGTCGAAACTTAGAAAAATCATAACTTCCTCATACGAAGTCAGATTTAGACGTTCTTTTTATGCACACTCTCGGTTTAACGAACTCTACGACTTTTGTTTAGACCACTAAGGCTAAATATCGCTCTATCATAAATTCACTATTTACGTCGCGCTGTGTCGTGCCGGTTCTGTCGCGAAACTTCGACAGGGTCATAACTTCTTTGTTATAACTCGGATTTCGGCGTTCTTTATATGTACAGAATCCTTGTAACATATACTACAACTTAGTTAAGATTACTCCTTCTAAATAATATTCCATTAAAAAGTCATTTTTGATGCTTATCGTCTCTAAATTGACTAGCCCGGATCTACAGGCGTTACACAAACCCTTCTTTACCCAACATGAGTTAGAGAAGTAAGATATTTCTTGGACCATACGGGATTCTATAGGAGATTTATCAAATATTTCTCGAAGATCACGAGACCGATGTGCCTCCTTCTCCAAAAAGATGTTGATTTTGACTTCAATGTAGCATGTCAATAAGCCTTTGACAAACTTAAAGACCTACTCACATACGCCCCCATTATCCAACCTCCAAATTGGGAGCTTCCTTTTTAAATTATGTGTGATGCAAGTAATTTTGCCTTTGGAGCGGTTTTAGGTCAAAAGGAGGGCAAAGCATCACATGTTATCTACTATGCCTCCAAAACCTTGGATAATGCTGAAGCCAATTATTCCACCACCGAGAAGGAACTTCTAGCTATTGTCTTCGCCTTGGAGAAATTTCGGCAATACTTTCTCAGGACCAAAAGTGATTGTATACTCCGACCATGCGGCCTTGAAGTATCTAATGACCAAGAAAGATGCCAAGCAACGGTTGATTTGGTGGATTCTTCTTTTACAGGAGTTCGATCTTGAGATAAAGGACAAAAGTGGTGTCGAAAACCTAGTTGCGGATCACTTAAGTCGGTTGAATATTGGTGGTTCTTCTTCTTCTATTCTTGATGAATTTTCGGATGAACACCTCTTCTACATTTCAAACACCGTTCCATGGTATGCGGATATTGTCAATTACTTGGTTACTAAAGAAATTCCACATGCATTTACCAAGTACCAAAAGGCCAAGTTGAAGAGTGATTCCAAATACTACGTGTGGGACGACCCTTATCTTTGGAAACATTGTCTGGATCAACTAATACGGCGGTGTGTTCATCAAAATGAGGTCGAATCAATCTTGAAGTTTTGCCATGAGTATGCATGCGAAGGACATTTTGGTCAAAACAAAACCATGCGAAAGGTGCTAGAATGTGGGCTCTATTGGCCAACAATGTCAATAGATACCTATCTATTTTGAAAGAGTTGTGATAGATGTCAAAGAATGGGAACCATATCCATGAAGCACGAAATGATTCAAAGCCCTATCTTCATTTGTAAGATCATTGATGTATGGGGAATCGATTTCATGGGCCCATTGCCCGTCTCTTTCAGTTATACTTATATACTCTTGGCGACTGACTACGTCTCAAAGTGGGTGGAAGCAAAGGCTACAAGGCATGATGATTCTAAAACTGTAATTGACTTCTTGAAGTCAAATATTTTTGCAAGATATGGTGTACCGAGAGCCTTGGTGAGTGATAGGGGCACTCATTTTTGCAACAAAATGATGGAAGCCATGATGAAGAGATATGGTGTTACACACCGGATATCGACCGCTTACCATCCACAAACAAACGGCCAAGCCGAAGTGTCAAATAGAGAAGTCAAACAAATTCTTGAAAAGACGGACAACACTACACGAAAAGATTGGAGCTTGAAGTTAGAAGATGCATTGTGGGCGTATCGGACCGCCTATAAAACTCTAATTGGCATGTCTCCATTCCGCCTTGTTAATGGAAAGTCTTGTCATTTGCCGGTGGAATTGGAACACAAGGCATATTGGGCGGTTAAAAGGTGTAATTTCAATATTAAAGAAACCGGGAAGCCCCGAAAGATGCAACTTCAAGAAATCGAAGAGTTGAGGAACGAGTCTTATGAAAATGCAAGCATCTACAAAAACAAGACAAAAGCGTTTCACGACAAGCACATCACTCGAAAGCATTTTATTCCGGGCCAAAAAGTTCTTCTTTATCATTCGCGGTTAAAGCTATTCCCGGGAAAATTGCAATCTCGATGGCACATACCTTTTATTGTTATAAAAGTGCTTGATCACGGTGCGGTTGAAATTCAGAGTTTGGAAACAAATCAAATATTCAAAGTGAATGGACACCGCTTGAAACCATTTTATGAAGGCTTTGACACGGGGGGATTTGACAACGTAACATTGGAAACTCTGATTTATGAAAGTTGAAGGAAGCGATACTATGTCTTGGCAAAGACGTTAAATAAATGCATTGTAAATAAATAATCTCCGCTTGAACTTTTGATGTTTCTAGGCTTGAAGTTGGTCACAAATAAGCATCTAGAGGTTTAGCAATGTTCTTGGTAAAGTTTGCAAAAAGTGCCAAAAATTTGCAATTTGCGCAGGTACCCGCGCAAACGTTGCGCGACCGACACCTAGCCATGCAAATCCGAGTCCAAATTACCCCCACATGGGACACAAACTGATGTATGCACGCGGGTGGGGGAGGTTCTGGGCGACCTAAAACTCACCCTCGCAACCTCTTGCGCGACCTGACCCCTACCCTCGCAAACCCTTGCGCGACCAAGACCAAACTTCCATCCCCATTGCACGACCAACACACCAGCCCTCTAACGCCCATACCCGGCCCATTTTCAAACCGTGCCCCACCCGATCACCCGAACCCGACCCGAACCTTCCTAAAAACCTACCCGATAACCCGACCTATTTAAGACCCACCTCTATACCACCCTTACCCATCGGCCTCCAATCTAAACCCCTTATCTCTCCCGACGATCACAACCCCCACAAGCGCTGCTGCCGATTTCGAGCTGCCGCCGACAACACCCGATTCCCGCCTGCTTTCCGCCACCGGTCGGCACTGCCAAGCTCGCCGCCACCTGCCACCGTCGTTTCCCCCCTCCTTCTCCAGCCGCCGCAGCATCCCTTCCTTCCTTTACCCCTTTGTCGCCAAAAAAACGCAACCAGCCGATTCAGCCATCCTCCTTGCTACTACGACCGGTGCTTACCATCTACCCTCATCCCCAACCAATTCCGACCACAACCAGTCCCACTACAGCCTTCAATCGCCGCCTCCACCGTTTTCCAACACCTCGCCGGAAAAGCGTAAAACCTCCATATCTCCGACAATTCTTCTCCAAATTCAAAATTTCTTGGGGCATTCTTCACCAAATACTTCCGGACACGCCGATCTACTACCCATTTGGCCAAACTCGCTCGCCGGAAAACCTAGCACCGCCACCGGCCACTGTCTGCCGCCGCCATAAATTTTGACAAAAATTTCAAACTTTTTGTTTCTCACCGGAGATTCAAAAGACTCAACCTTGCGGGTCAAATTCAAGCTTGGGGTGCGGTTTTAGCGGTTTTATTTTCGGGTTTCGACACTCGAATTTGGTACATTCCTTTTAATTTTATTGCATTCCATTTCTAATTTGGATAGAATTATGTTATGCATTAGATTGATTAGAATTGAATTGCTTTGAATTGATAGGATTACATTGCATTGCATTGTGCCAAATTGCAAGTTTGGAGTATTTGCCCGGTTTATTTTTTTTAATTGATTGGATTGGTGTGAGGCGAGTGTGACGGATAATTTTGGTCAAAGTTTTTGTCTTTCCTGGGTTCTATTTACAGGTACAATGGAAAAGAACAAAACCATTCATGCGTCTCATGGTTCTTCCCGTGAAGCTCAATCATCGCGATCAACCAAAAAAGTGTCCACCGAGCATGTCGATCATGATGGTAACTTTGTCCTCACTAGTGAACAAATCAAGCAATTTAAGTCCAACCTCCAAAAACGTGCGATCTGAGCCACAAAATTTTACCACCGGGAGTCGATGATCCACCTTGGACTTGACGATTGCTTGGAACAAATGTTCTTCAACATAGGTTGGCATGATTACCTAGCCCTTTCCGCGCGCACATACAAGCAACCCACACTTTAGTTCCTCTCCACTTATGCACGGGATGACACGGAGGGGGTGCTCACATTTAGACTCCAGGGTCGGCAGCACCGACTCACATACGACACCCTCAACACTATCATAGGCACATACGATAGCCACAACACTGACATCTATAGTTATCAATGGACTCAATTCAAGAGCTTGCCCAAAGTAGAGTTTTGTACTCAGATCACCGGTCTTCCAAACTTCAATCCAAGTCGATAGAAAGATCCTTACATCATCCATCCTTGTTGGAGAATCGCCCACCAGATTCTTTCAACTTCCATCTTTGGTCGTCACGATCCAGGACAAATAAACACAATCGAGCTATATTTCCTCTATTGCATGACTAGCCGTCGTTGGTCTTGCCCCGGTTTCGCTACTTTTTTCTTGGATAAATGTGACAGCATACGCACGAAGACCACTGGAAACATTTGCATTGGAGGTCTCATTACCCTAATTGGTTTGGGTGCGGGCCTTCAATTTCCCGAGTCTGAGTATGTGCCAGTGGATGACCCACCTCTCTACCTCCTCGAATGCTTAGCTCTCACCCGGATGGAATTATTGCTACCTACCAGCAATAACCACTACTTTTGGCTCAATCATGCCAAGGAATCAGTTTACATCTTACCTAATACCAACATCTCTGCCTTTACCACCAGCGACCCCAAAACTTGGTTCTTGCCTGAAGAGTTACATGATGATGATGATGCAGGAGATGATGATGACATGCAGGTAGACACTGGCAATGTTGATAGCCCATTTGAGGCCTAAGACCATTATGACCTCCCAATCCGACAACTGCCACCACCCTTTTATGCTCAACCTTTGGGAGCACACTTCGAGCGACAACATGAGTACCCGTCTTACCAACAACACAACGAGCTGAGACCCGAGTTTCCTCTTGATATATACAGTCAGCTTGCTGCCTTGCGCCTCTAGGGCAACCGGAATACAGCAGCCATTCGGCGCATCGAGGAGCAGCAAGCTCGAGCCAACAACTACATGGAGGATCTTTGGCATCATTTTCAGCCCGAAGGCGGTTACCGTCCTCGCGGGCCTCCTCCACCTTGATCCCGGTACGATCATTCCTTACTCTCATCCTAAGCATTGAGGATAATGCTTAATTTAAAGCTTGGGGTGAGGTATTCTTTATCTTTTATTTTTTTGATTGCATTTAGGTTGTATATAGTTACATTTAGAGTAAGTCATTTAGGTCATTCATAAAAGTTGCATAAAAAATTCAAAAATATTGCATATTTTGTTTCCTTCTTTTCTAATTTCATACTTTTTAGATGCATTCTAGTTTAAGGTCATGCATTTTTGTTCTCTCTTGTCTTCTCATCCCTACAGGTACCATAGCGCCGAGTCATAAGTATTGAATCATAGATGGTCCCGGGTCTTGATATGGAATTCCTTTAATTGGATAAATGGAACACGCTTTGAGCCTCACAGACCACTTTGAGACCGCTTGTGTGTGGGTTAGATACAGGTAGCTTGATTGGGTCTAGGTGTGGAGGGATGTGGTTGGTCAAACCGATGTATGCGAGCAAAGATTAGCCCAGTAAGGTATTTTGAAGACATTGAAGACTCACATCTTGGTTTTAGGGGGAATACCCCTTAGTACTCCCGAGTCTCGTCCGAGCCGTACTTAGTTAGATTCTCACCACCTTTTTAAGATAGGTCATCATTTTTCTAAGGGTCTAGAGTAGATAGTTAGATAGATTTTTGTTTATCACACCTTGCATTGAGGTGCTCGATAAACTTTGAAGTGGGTCCCCCAATTCACATCTTTTGGGACCAAGTTTTTTCGGTAACACCCATTTTTGAGTCATTCCCCACCCTTTTTAGTAGATCTTGACACATAGTCAATGATCATTAGGTGTTCATGTTAGCCTCTATCTATTACTCCATTTTCACTATTGGAGTCCTATGTTACATGGTGAAATTCCCTAAACCTTCCAAGAATAAAGACAAGAAGAAAACACAAAAAATGAAGAAATTGGAAAAAGCAAAGACAAAAAGAAACAATGAAGAAGATTAAAGAAAAGCAACAAAAACAAAGAAGAAAAATGAAGAAAAAGAGCAACACAAAAAGAAGAACAAGAATCCAAGTTCAATACTTCTCTCAATAAAAAAAAAGATCGAGCTACAAAGAGACTGAAAACTAAATAACAAAAGTTCAAGATTGAAGATTTAACTTGTTAGGTTTAGATTTAGGTTAAGTATAATTGTTATTATTTTATTTTTTTTTTGATTTTTGGTGAGAAAAGGCTATGACGATGAGACGGTAGATTGTAAAGGACAGTACAAGGGAAAAGCCTCTGAAACCGGATGTTTTCCCGGAGGCCGCGCTGCAAAACCCTATTTCGTATTATACACTTTAGCCTGACAAATGTAGGAATCGTCGTGTGTGAAGAGGCGCCTTTCCTTCATGAATTATGATCTGCATTGGTGATTTAAAGTGCCCCCACTGGGCGCATCCTCTGTTTCCTTTGTCTTGCACACACCGCGACTACATCCAGCCGTGATCTATTCGCCCATCAAGTGGTTCGAGAATGTGGTTTATGGCTCTAAAGCGGGGAACATTTTGAAGATGCGTAGGGTCCATGAAAGACTGATTCTGACCATGTTGACTGGTGTTAAAAAAGTTCTATGGTATCTTTCTTTTTCCTTTGTAGTTTAGCTCATCCCGAGCTCATTTTAGTCTTGTTCTAACTTGAGGACAAGTTAATTTTAAGCTTGGGGTGATTTGATAGCTTATTTTATTTCCTTATTTTTAATAGTTTATTATAGTATTTTTAACTCTTTTTATTAATATTGCATTGCATATTCTTTATTTTCTTTATCATGGATCATGTCAGGTACTTTCTATTTTGCATGAGATATTTTGCAGGGTTTTGGAGCTCATTGCGGTTGCGGTTTGACTGGAGTTGGGCTTAGTGGGCTTCTCGATGCATTATTGGGCTTTACGGATCCATCAAAGGAGATTTAGGCTTAAAAAGTTGAAGATTTGGATGAAGTGGGCTTTTGAAGATGGCTCATGGATTCTTATTTTAGGCATGGGCTATCCATATTTAAACCTTGAAGATGATTGGCCAATTTCAAATCATGTGAGTCATGGAGGGGACCACGGGAACACTTGTGAGGGTGGAGTCTCAGTCGCGCAACACTTGCGCGGGTACCCGCACAACTGCACACTTTTGGGCATTTTGGTCATTTTGTTTACCATTTACCTTAGGGGTGGATCTTTCAGATACACTTCGATTTTCCACCATTAGAGACCTGGAGAGGTGATTTTTGGAGCTTGGATACTCATTCTTCTCATCTTTCTAAGTAATTGGTAGATTCTTGACGCCAAAACACTTTTGTGATTGTTATTTTGTTGCCATGAGTGGCTAGTTTCTCTATTTTGGTTAACTTTGGCTAAAACCCTTGGATGTTTGTGGGTTTTTGAAGGATTCATGCTTAATTGTCATTTATCTTATGTTTATGATTCTAGTTCATATTTTTTATGCTTGTTTAATACTTTGATCATGAGCTTGGTACTTGAATGAGCAATTGTTGGTTTATTTCTTTGGTTTAGCATTGAATCATTGAATTTACTTAGAACAAGGGCTTTATGATGGTAGAAATCATCTCTAGCTTATGAATCATGACTCCTTTATGGATGTGTAAGCATTGACATCCTCTGAGAATTGGGGATTCCTTCATTCTTAAGGCTAATCAACTTCTTGGGTTCAATTGCTTCAATTGGATCCTTGATTTTGATTAAGAAGGTATGTTGTGGGCTTCCCCAACCTCCATACTACCTATGAGGAATCTTCGCATATCATGCTTCATGATTGCTATAACCAATTTGGGATGAATGATAACCTTCATGAATGGTGTAATTTGCTTGGTGGACTTGACATCCCACCAATTCACAGCTTAATGTCTTATATATCTCACTAGGCATTTCAACAAACATATTGTATGCATATGATTTAAGAACTTTTTGTACTTCAATGAATTCTCAATAATCCCTCACAAATACTCAAATTTAAATCGACATAAATGGCTATATCTGTTTAGGTGGCCAACCAATCAATTAAACGCAACTTGTGCTACTGATCTAGAAACTAAATATGTTTTTCTTACTTTATTCCTTGTCAGATTCCAGCGATGTCACTTATTAAATGATATAAAATTTGGATTGAAAGTTTTTATTTAATAAAAAATTGATGTATAAAATATCTCAATCAGTTAAATAGTTTGATATAATAAGTTACTCAATCATCGTTTCCTTTCTTTCTAAGTCGTAGTAAAAATCACAGTTGGCCAATCTCACTGATAGAAAATAAAATTCACTATGGTCAGCGATTTAGATCTGAGCTGGTGGATAAAGGAGACTGCGGTGAAGAAGATGAGTGACAGCAGTGGATGTTACGACAGGTGGAGAAGGGTCGTGGTGGTGGATTTTAGCATGACCTAAGAGTTATTACCGATAGTTCAAAAAAAATTCACTCTAGACTTCGATTTAGATTTGAGTTGTTGGAGGAGGGAGACAACGGTGAAGAAGTGGAGCGACGACAATGTAGGTCGTGATTGGCGGACAAGGGCGGTGGTCGTGGATTTTAGCCGGTGGTAGAGGCAGCAAAGGGGGAGAAGAAGGTTTGGGGATTTTCTAGAACGACGAAAAAGAAGCAAAAGCGAACGAACATAGATCAGGAAAAGGCTTATGGAAATTGAATATCTATTTACAATAATGTCACCGTTTATTTTATAGTGGTTCTCAAAAGTTCTTAATTTTTTGTTGTTCTTATTTGATCTTCTCTCTCTCTCTCTCTCTCTCTATCTATCTATATATAGATATATATATATATATATATATAGATATATATATATATATATATATATATATATTATATATATATATATATATATAGGCTTAGGTTATTCTATTTAAACTAATTATTGTGTTATTGTATGAATAAATGTGGGCCAATCATTTTACTTATTTTAAGAAAGTGATTAATACATATTATTAAATTAAAGATAGTTGAAAAATACCATCTAATTTCAATCTAAGGGTATTTTAGACAATTTAGATAAATTTAAAAAAGGAAAATTCCATATTTTTTGGGATAATTAATTCTCTTGATTTTAAAATTCTAATTTTTTAATTACTTTAATTTTAATTATAACGTAATTTTTATAATTAAACACGATTTTATTCTGTTAGAATGCCATTCTGTTAGAATCATATTCTCTAGGAATTTCAGGATATATATTTCTATTAGAATGATATTCTATTAGAATGTTAACACCGACTAATAACAAATTTTTGGATACAACTTCAAATTTTTCATTACATTCTTAAAAATGTAAAAACTTTATATAATAGTCTATGACAATGAAATACTCACTAATAACAAACAAAACCATGTATATTATTTTGTTAGAATGTCATTATGTTAGAATCATATTCTCTAGGAATTTCAGGATATATATTCCTATTAGAATGATATTCTATTAGAATGCCAACACCGACTAATAACAAATTTTTGGATACAACTTCAAATTTTTCAAAAGCTTTTTCATACGGTTTTTCATTCTCCCATCCAAAAGAGAGAAAAACTGTTGTATGAATTTCAACAGCTTCTGACTTGGGTGAATCTTGCCATATACCACTTTCATTTGTAGTGTCTGTAAGAACAGAAAGGCTGCTGGTGCCAACCGCCGCCAGCTTATCATGTTCTAAATCAGAATCACTATCATGCTCCCGAAACCTCTTCACAGAAGTTTTCGCCTCAATTCCATAATTAACCGAATGCTCAGCAGTTACAGCTACCTCTGAAACTCGGTGAAGATTAGTTTGCATTTGTATCCACCGATTCAAGGTCGGAAACCTGAATTAGAAGTTAAATGGCATTCAAAATCGGGTAACCAACTAACTGAATTCAGTTATATATGGAGAAAAGACAAAAGTAATCTCTCGGATTGATCAAGTGCAAACTCAAAGAACAATCTATCAGCATCATGCTTCTGGACTGACCCTGGCCCATCAGTCAATGAGCCTGACATGGTTGATGAGTAGTCATTGCCACCATATAAACTACAATTCCCAAAAACACATGCTAAAACAGCCCTGACTGGTGACAGTTTCACAAGATGCTTTACAATATCTAACTGAAGAGGGTACAGGGGAACTCCAGGTGTGGCTGAGGACAGACAATAAGAACTCGGCTTGGCTTCTTCTGAAGATGGGGATAAACGTTTACCCTCTGAATCCTCTTCGTGTCCTATTTCTTCAGACTTACCCTTTTCAGACTTACCCTCTTCGTGACAGCAAAAGACAATTGAATCCATTAATTAAACAGGGATTTATATCATGAATCCGCTGAGAATCGACATACCGATCATCAATTTCAATGGAAATTAAATCAGTAAACTGAAAGAAAAGGGAGAATCGACATACCGATCATCAATACCAAAGGTAGGGTTTTCTCTAAGGGGTTGAAACGAGAATCGACCAAGAAACCTCGCAACACACTTTCCATAGATACGCGAACGATTGGAAGAAAAAAGGAGTTGTGATTGGGGGTGGTGTCGATCGGAATTAAGAGCGATACAGGGGTGTGTAATTGATTGGAAGAAAAAAGGAGTTGTGATTGGGGGTGGTGTCGATCGGAATTAAGAACCTACCACCGATTTCAAGAGGATAGGAAGAACCATGCGATCGATTGGAGAAGAGGGGAGAAAAAAATCTGGGAACGTGCACACAGATGCCAGTTCAAGAAGTTGTGATTGAAGAGGGGAGAACCGAGAGAAATTGAAACTAAGAGAAGAACGAAATGTTATATCTTTTCAAATTAGTAATCCCTATATATCGATTGCCCATCTTTGCCCGATGCTTCTCCCCGATCTTTGCCCGTTCTGTTAGTCAGGTGATGAACACGGGGAAATAAAGCCCTTCTTTTTGTTTCAGTTCATTCTTTTTTTATGGAAGACATCGGCTGTATATAAGAAAAGAAATTAGGTTAAAATTGAATGCTAGCAAGATTATAAGGATTATTTGTGGAAGATAATTATCAAATTACTAAAATACCCTTGTTTATTTATTTAATTATTTAATTTTTTACTTAATTTTAATTGGTCCACATTTATGCATACAATAACACAATACTTAGTTTAAACAATTGAACCTAGCTCTCTCTCTCTCTCTATATATATATATATATATATATATATATATATATATATATATATATATATATAGGGTTAGGTTAAATTGAGAACACTTTTTTATGTGAGAACATGAGGACTAATTTTAGCCATTAGATTTGGTGTATTTAAGGGTCAAGATTAAGTATTCCTAATTTATATGTATTCTAATGTGTTTTGTTAATACTGGTAATATTCAACAGTGATATTTATGTATTTAATGAGATTTATGTAACATACGATATTGTTAAATAAGGTAATAGTGTGAAATTGTAAACGGTTCCCGATAAACCCTCCGAGAAAAATCTAACCAAATCGTTTCCATTTGGGTGAAACGATCTTGATAGAATCTTCAAAAAAAATTCCAAGATATTATGTGAATCGTTTTATGTTATAAAATTGAAGCGAAATGAGGTGGACGAGAGCACAGAGCTTGAGAAGGAGTCCAAGAATGATGGAAGCAGGATTTTAGTCAAAGTTACTAATACGGCTAACAATGTTATCGATCTTGAAGAAGAAGAAGTCTTGTACATTGAATCAGGTAACATAAAGATTAATTTTTTGTTTTTTGATCTACGATCGGAAATAGGGTTTTGTTTTAGGGTTTTCTGAGGATTTATGATGTTTTGGCTGTTTGTCGGTAAAATCGATGTTTTTTTGTGTAACAAGTAGTTGGTAGTGAGTGTGTTTTGATCGTAGGTTTGGTTTTCTTGAAAAAAAAATTGGCTGTGAATGTGATATGAGCTATAATTCTGTTTTGAATGAATGTGTATTTAAATGTGATTGTAGAGTATGTGATAGAGTTGTTTGATTAAACTTTGAACTTTATTTTGTTTGATCTTTGAAAAAAAGAGTTCGTAAAATCTTAAATGGTATTCGTAAACTGTAAATTGGTTCAATTTTAGAAATTGTGTTCCATGATTAAGATTGAAATGTGTATTCCTTTTAGGCGCATACTTCCGTATAGAAAAATAACAATAGAAAAAATGTAGATGCATTTATGAAATTGTTATGTAGAAGGTGATATTCTTTGTTGAGTTTGGTAATACTGATTTTGCGGATTTATGTGGATGCTTTAATGAATGTTTTTTCTTGTTTTGAATATGAGTAATGATGCATAAAAAATTTAACATCTAATAAGTGTAGGAATGAATGGTGTTACCTCTAAGGCCATAGTTTGATGTTGTAGATAAATAAGTTTAGCAATGTTTATGCGTGTATGAATGGGTGCATGAGTGGTGTTGTTATTTATGGTAAGTAAATGAAAGTACATTCAATAGTGAATATGTATGGAAGTGAATGAGTAATCTGTATTGAATGTGAATGCATGTGTGGATGTGTGATTAAGTGAATGTGTAGTCTTTTATAAGAGTTGTTGAGTATGATAAGTGTTGAATATGATAAATGTTTTTTATATGGTAAGTAAATGAATGTGTAATCAATAATGAATATGAATGACTATGCAATAGTGAATGTGTGTGGAAATGAATGTGAATGAAGTTTTGTGGGATAAGTTTTATGCCTACAGTTTGTTATTGATTAAGTTAATGAGGAATCTGCAATGAATATGGAAGTGAATGAGTAATCTGGAAGTGAATGTGTATTGTTTTAGGAAGTGAATGTGTAGTCTTTTATGAGTACATGATATGAGGGATTAGTTTTTTGCACATGAATATGTATTCATTTGTGAATATGTGAGAAAATGAATTGTAGTGATTAATCTGTTATGAATTTGTATTAATTTGTAAATATATGAGAGAATGATTTTTTTTAGTACATTAGTTATTGGATAAATTTTGTACATACAATTTGTAAAATGTAAGAATGATAATTTTTTATTAAAATGTACAGGGTCATCAAGCGACCGTGTAGTTGAAGGAAAGAAATCTATGAGGAGTGCAGGGAAGAAAGGGGTACCTGGTGGGGGAAAAAAACTAGAATTACCCAAAAAGACAAGCAATGGAAAATCATATAAGAATGACTAAAGTGATGATGATTTTGTTGAGAAGAAAAATAAGGTGGATTCTGGAAAGAATGAAAAGAAAATGAAAAGGAAAAGGGTTGACAAGAGTGTTAATGATAAAAAGGTTAAGGTGAAAGGGAAAAAAGTAATTGGAGCTGAAGGAAAATGTAAAGAAGGGAAGGTATGAACTTAATTTCAAAGGTTGAGTACTCGTATGTCTCCAAATTCTTTGTATCTAGCCATGAAAAGTTTGTCAAAAAGCCAGAGAGAAATGGTACGCGATATGGGTTTTGGATCTTTTCTGGGAATGAAGATTGATACACTACCTGGAAAGCTAGCATATTTTGTTGTAGATAGCTTCACAACAAGTTCTTGTTCCATAAGGGTTAAAAGCGGTGAAGTGGCCATAACAAACGAGATAATGTAAGCTATGTTTGGACTTCCGAATGAGGGTTTGGATTTTAACACACTGGATGAATATGATAAGAATGATCCTTTGCTTGAAGCTTGGAAAGGACAATATGGGAAGGGAAATTATTATAAAGGGAACTATTTGAAAAATATAAGGAAAACAAATGTTGCGGATGAGTTGTTTAAGCTGAATTTCTTGACATTATTCATTAACACTTTTGCTGAAACAGAGACAATAGGGTCTTGTAGAATTAATTTTATTGAAAAGTTAATTCAATGCAAAGATGTGTCAAGGATTAACTGGTGTGAGTACATAATGGACTGTTTAGGAAAAAGCAAGAATAAATGGAGGCCAAATGACAAAAACTGCTACTTCACAGGACCTGTAGCGTTTCTAATGGTATAATATTGAATATTGATTTAATCTTTTAATTTTTTTTATCATTAAAAATTAATTGTAATGAAAAAATTATTGAATATAATTGTGCAGATGGTGTATGTAGACAGAGTGATATGTGAAGATGTAAATTTGCATAGGCATAGGCCCTTCATCACAAAAATTGATTCAGAGCACCTAAGAGTGTTAGAAGAATATGAAGTAAGCAGGGGTGTATTTGGAATTCTAAGTTTAAGGGAAAATGTGGATGGTGTGTTTTATGATGCGATGATGAATCAAGATCATTCAAAAGATAGATCAGTTGAGGTAAAATGATTTTATAATAAATATAATAGGAATAGTTATTATTTTATTTTATTGTTTGTTAATTGTATAGCATTAAAAAAAATTAGATTGTTAAAGTAACAGTTCATTTATTTTTATTGTAGGAGAGTTGTGGGATTATTGATAGTATGGTAGGAAGGTTGGTTGAGCAGAAAAAGGTTGTAGAGGCAAGTAGTTTGATGTGTATGGAAATGCATCCGAATAATGATAAAATGAAGGCAGTGATTAAGAAGGTTGTTGACATCTTTAATGGGACAACACTAAAAGCCTTAATTGCTGATGGGCATGAAGATAGAATGGAGGTTGATGGTACGAGTGTGAATGCAACAGAAGGAGGAAAATCAGCTGAGGATATGAACCAAATGATTACTAATTTGACAAATAAGATGGGGGAGGATTTACTTAGTGGACGAAAAGTTTATTCTGAATCGAATGTGGATGCTTCAGATCAGGGAATGGAAGGAATGTCCTCGACAATTGTGAAGCCAACTGGTATGTGCAATGATAAGGTTCTGTTTGAGCATCATGGTGGTTCACATCAACAGAATATAGGAATGGAAGTTGTAATGTACAGTGGGAATTCTACTTTTGATTCTCCTTGTATATACCTGGTTGGATAAAGCAAGCTGATGAAATAGAAAGGAACAGCTCTAAAAAGAGTAGTATGTTTAATAATGATTGTCCATCGTTTGAAGCTAGACTTAATGAATGTGCAGATGAGATGAATACTTCGAAAGGGAATGAAGGTAAAGATGATGCAATTGTTGAACAGGAATGTCCTAAAAGGACAAAGAGAAATGTTGAAGCTGTAGTAGGGATTAAAATGAGAGAAAAAGGAGAAATGAAGCATGGACCTACATTGAAGTCACCTTTTGTACAAAGAGTTGTGGACTTGAAAGATTCAGTTGAGCAAAAAGAAATACTGGTTGCACAAGCTATTATTGGATTAGGAATGGATAAAAGGTGTAGTTGCATACTTTTTTATTTGTTTTTTTATGATTAATGTTGTGTAAAATATCTGATGTATACAACCATGACAAATGCAGGGAGCTCATATGGGAATCAAAAGAAGGGTTTGGAACGTATCTAGAATATGCCAGAACTATTGCAGCAAAAGTGAATATTCATTCAAATGTAATAGACTGTTGGAGTGTTCTACTAAACAAATTGGAAGAGAGTAAGGCAGAGTCGTCATATTCTAGACTTTTTTTTACAACAGGCACACTGGTATGGTTTATTTAAAAAAATATAATAACAGTTTTTAAGAAGATTAATGTTACTTATTGTGTTTTTAAATGGTAATGCCCAGCGTGAATCAAGGTATGACGAGAGGGTAAATGAAGATGTAAGATACAAAGAGTTTGAAGTTATGGTTTCCTCATCAATTGAAGATCTTACAACTGATTCTGAGCTAAAAAACGTGGATTTGGTAATAAAAATATGATGATTAAAATGTTTAATATTACATATATTTGTTTTTTTATTAAGTGTTATATGTTGATTAAAATGTTGTAGGTTTTCTTCCCCATTGTTGATGGGAATTACTACCTCATATGTTTTAACCTTAAAAGTTTTTCAATTTTGATAATTGATCAAGGAGATTGGTGGGAACAGTTGAGTCGGTCTATGGGAACATACCCCGTGTGCTGGTAAGTATGAAAATAAAATCATTAATCTTAATATATGTTTATGTGATTATGTAAATGGTTAGTACAATTTGTGTTACATAATTAATGATTGTCTGTAATGTTTTGGTAACAGCAAAAAAATTTCTGCCGTTTTCTAAATGATGTCTGTAAGAAGAAGGTGAAGACCCTGATGACAAGGAATGTGGTGGTGTTGAAAATGAAGTGCCAAGCATACAACCGTTCAGATGATGGTGGAATCTACCTTATGCAACATATGGAGAGTTTTATGGGGGATTAAACATCAAAGAGGGATTGTGGGCTAGCTGTGGATTTAAAAATACAAGATATGTATTTACAGAAGTTAAGGTACAAGTATTTGGTGAGGTTTCTTTTGTCTGATCATAATATTTTGAAGTGTGATTTTGAAAAGGAGTATGCAAAGTTTTTTAAGATGGATAAGGCGACAAGGAAGAGAATAGTTCAAGAGAATCTAAAAGTAGTGTTTGATGAAGCAATTGGTTAAAAGCTGATGGGGAAGGTGTTTGTTTTTTTGGGTCTGGTTTGTTGATTAGTATTTTTTTTGACAAACAGCTTTCTTTGGTGGGATGGTAGGTTTTTGTTTAGGGTTAATGTAGTATGGATCTATTTTTGTTATGTGTCTAAAGTTATTATGTTGGTTGTGGTTTGAACCTTTATTACTACTAGTTATGTATGGATTATTATGTTAACTATGTGTTGACTGTTTGATCAATGTGTCTGAAATGATTTAGTTTAAGGTAAAAGTTAATTCGATTTTCATCAATTAATTTTTTAGAGTTTTTACTTTAATGGACATGTCGTGGAATGTGATATGAATGTTGTATAATCCAAAACTGTAAATTCAAGAAAGAATATGTAATCCAAAGCTGTAAGTAGAACAACCAAATCATTATAAATTCGCAATTAGCAATTTATGTACATTTTGTTGACACTTATATGTACATTTAATGTGATGAATTTTTTTTTGAAAACACAATAAACGTGTATACGGTACAGTACAAGATATGTACATTAAGTGATGAAATTTTTGTACTTGATAATGTATGTAGTATCGTAAATGAATGTCATTGTGAGTATGCTCTTTTCGATGGGTTTTGAAAAATACGTCATATTTTTATGTATGCAACACAACATTTGTTTTGAAAAACTTAATATCTTTTTAAGTTAGAGAAATTGACTCATCATATATTGAGTGTTCCGTAATAGTATGAATACTAATATCATTCAATGATGAATAAATTTGTACATAAAAATTTACTATAAAATAAGATAAAAATAACATTTATAGAGAAATGCAAAACAATATAAACGACAATCAAAATTCTTATTAGCATTCAAACATGTCTTTAATATGAATATGACAAATCTAAAACAAGCAGATGTAAAGAAAAAAATTTAAGTTTAGAACATGCATGCACAATTAAAAAATAAAAACAAATGCTAAATATATAATTAATTCTTCTTTCCGGGACGTTCTTTGAAAATGTTATTCTTCTCATCTTCTTTCCTTACAGGACAATTTCGCCAATCATAATCGTTGCCATTGCGACAATAACTGCATCTGGAACCCTTTGATTTTTCTGTTGCAACCTCTCTCGAACTTTTCATTCTTTTTTTAGTACCACTTCCTTTGTTCCGGATTTCTCCTGGATTGTGAATATCCACACTAGTGGGAATGGTAACACCAAGTGTTTTTTCGAACTCTTTATTCTTGTTTCCTTTATCATGAGTTGTGAAATTGGAAAGGAACTTTGCTTCAAGCTGCTTTATTTCGTCCAAGTATTCTTTCAATTTGGTGTGATTATTGCTGAGAGAAGATACACAGTTGTCAACAGTAGAAAATATATCAAGTGCAACTCTTTGGGTATTCTCGTCAGAATCAGCATAACGAAAACACTTTTTCAATAGTTCTGTGGGGATGATGTCCTTCTGCCAGCGTCTGAGTAAATATTTGGAAGGAATCTCTTTGATGTTATATGTCTTCATTACGGTAAAAATGTGGCGACACAAAAAACCAAATTGCTCAAACTTCATACAAGGACATGTAAATGTTTGTGCAGACTTATTGTGTGTAACATGTATTGAATAAAGTGAAGAAAAGTTAGTAAAAAAATATATGAAACTTAAAAGAGTAAGAGTACAAGTTTCAAGAGCAATTACCTTGTAAGTAGACTCACGTATAGGTATATCCCATTGATCATCATTTTCAACTTCTGGATCAAGCTGAGAAGCATTTGAATTAGAAGGAATGTAATGAATAAATTCCTTGACAAGACACTCATCAACATCATCAAAGGTGCTGATCGAAATTTGTGTACATGAAACCATAGACAAGTACATTTCATTTTGAACTTGACGAAAAACAGTGCGAGTGTAAAACATAGATGCATTCCTCTCGATCTCAAATGGTGTCCTCATTGTTGGATGTTTGTCGTTAGTTTTGAAGTCAAATGATGACTGAGTGAATCTTTGCTTCTCCATAGCAGCTTCAAATGAAATCATGAAATGGACAAGAGTAGAACCATAATGCGTGTTCTGGTGAAATGCTGAATTCTCACTTTCAGAACGAGATGTGGTTCACATTAATCCTGATAAAGGTACATGCTTGAAAAATGCAGGTATCCAGAAATGTCTCAATCCATGCATATCATCCAACCATTTATTATCCGTGAGCTTTTATTCATTCAATAACGACTTCCGCCCTACCTCAAAGTCATCAACTTCAAGCCTAGAATTCCATATCAAGAAGTTGAACTTTTTACGAAATTCTGGATTGTTGACAATGTTCAAAGAAACCTATGAATTTGTAAATGTAATATCTGTAATCAACTATAAAACCAATACATTCTGGTTTAAATACACTAAAAAAATGATTGTTTTATTGGTAAAGTGTATTACATAGACAAGAATAAATACCTTCAATGGCAATTTAGATGTGATATGCCACATGCAAAGCCTATGAATCGATTGTGGGAAAACAGTTTCGATGGCTTTCTTCATTGCAGGGTCTTGGTCGGATAAAACCAACAATGGTTGTTTGCCAAAAGCTTTAAGAAAAGATTTCAACAACCATATATAGGAATCAGTGTCTTCTCTGCTCAACAAGCCAGCACCAAAAGTGACACACCTCTTGTGATTATCAATTCCAGTAAAAGGGACAAAAACCATATGGTACCTGTAAAAGTATTTGAATTAATATGTATATTATTAATAAATAGAAATATAATAAACTACAATCATTTACAACCTGTTAGTTCGAAAAGTAGCATCGAAAGAAACTACATCACCAAACTCTTTATAATTTATCTTGGATGTTTCATCTGCCCAAAAAAGAGCATTCAACTGCTTATTCTCAACTCGATACTCAAAAGAAAAATTCTTAACATTCTCTTTTCTGTTATTCAACTTGTCCACTAGCATCTGAGCATCACTACCACCTATAAAGCAATTGAGATCCCTCATGTAATTTTTGAAGTCATCAATTAGACCGCCTACAAAATTGTATCCACCAAGAATACTTGTATACAGCCTGTGAGCTATGGTTGCACCAATATTCTGATTAGACATTGTAAGAATGAAAGATTTTTGAGTGTCATCCAGCTGCCTATGACGACGTGAAAACAACATATTGTCTCTTGATATAAGTGGATGATTGTGTTTTTCTTCAAATTCATATAACAACCATTTGGTAGTTCCAGGAAAAATTTTAAATCGTATACGTCCCTTGCATCCGGTCCTACTAGTGTCAACCCTTCTCTTAATTTTACTTGTTTTTGGGTCCAAAGTATCAACATGAGATGTATTTGGGAAACCTTCCCTGTTACATAGAAGATATTTGATGTACACCATACCACGCTTCTTTTTGTTTGTTGACTTTCTAACATCAAAACCTGCTGCACATGCATATCTTCTGTACATGTCTTCAATTGCATCATCAGATGGGTATTTATGGTTTATTATTGGCTTAAGATCATCAGGGACAAAAGGAATCCAATACGATTTACCAGTTATTACCAAGTGTTGATCAACACAATCATCTTTTCTCTCATTACATAAATCAATGTCTGTAACATCTAATAACCATGACAAGTTAATAACATAATACAAATAACAAATCAACAAATAAAATAAACTTAAATAGATATTATACGATACTGAAATGTCAATTAATGAAATAAGCTTAAATAGATAGTATACGATACTGAAATGTCAAATTTTTGATAGTATTCTAACAATATACAAAATTGTGTAATGTAAATTGACACATATTTAACAAACTTACAAAAAAAAAAAAAAAAAAAAAAACATACCAGGAACTTGAACAGATTGATGAATATTTTCAAGAAATGTGAAATCCCGTTGATTGTGGTCATCCATGATGTCGACTTTTCCGAATGCGGTATTATCATCATCAATCGAACAAACTTCATCATCACTTGACAAAAAATCGTCATCGGCCGATGCAGTTTGAGCGTAATTGATCTCATCCTCTTCATTGATCTCGTTTATATCATCAAACTCGTTGCAAAATGACAAATCCATTAATGGATTCTTACGGACAACTTTCAGAACAGCTTAACTTGAATATCCGATTCGGTTTGTTAATATTGATGACTGGTACACACGATTGATGATTGAAGAATTAATAAATGTTTGTTAGAGATAATATAAAACATTCCTTAATTATAGGAGTTTGATTGATATATTCTTTAAAGCTGATTAAACAATCAAACCTTGCCTTTATTAATGTAAAATATTATAATTTTTATATTTAATTAATTATATATATTGATTGGCTGAGATTTGTCCTTATGTTCTCACTTTAAAAATAGTTCTCATTTGAACTTAATTCTATATATATATATATATATATATATATATATATATATATATATATATATATATATATATATAAACCAGCTACCTTTTGTCTAAAGAATCAGTTTTCCTTTCAACTTATCTTGTTACTTTAAAAATCATTAGATTTCAATAGTGGTTTATTATTAAAATCAACAAAACTAATATTGATTCTCAAGCCAAGTATTGTGTTGTTGATACAGTCATTTATAAAACATATATTTTAAAGATCTCTTGTCATGTTTCATTTGGAATTCCTACAAGTGATTCTCATTGTCTTTAATCAAATTATCCTCACCCCACCCAAGGGCCAAGAGGAATCTCAAGTTTCAACAATGTCAACTGGAGAAAAAGACTCGGACTTTCTTGCCACAGAAATGTATTTGAGCCATGCTTATTCTCTATTTATTCAAAAGGTTTAGATTTAGATTAGGATTAGATGAGTGTTTTCGTTAATTGTCCTAAAAATAAAATAAAGTTTTATAATTGAACATCTGATGGTGTTCTATTTTGGTGTTAATCCTTTTCATTTGGTTTTCTGCTTTTATCTTGAGTTTTGAAGGTATGCAATAGTTACAGGATCAAACAAGGGAATAGGCTTAGAAGTATGCAAGCAACTGGCTTCCAAAGGGGTTCGAGTTGTGCTAACTGCTAGAGATGAAAACAAAGGCAAAAAAGCAATGGAAAGTCTTAAAGATCATGCCCCTTTTCAAAATGATAATATAGTTTTTCATCAACTTGATGTGTTGGATCCAACTAGCATCTCTTCTCTTGTTGAATTTATAAAAGCCAAATATGGGAAGCTTGATATTTTAGTATGATTGAATTTTAGTTCTTTTTTAACATAGAATATTTATCAAGTGCTTTTATAGAGAATTAAAAAAAAAAAATCACAGGTGAATAATGCCGCAGTTTTAGGAGTGAGTGTAGACGCCCATGCATTAGAAGCCTCAATAAATGGCAAGGTATGTTTTTAGATGTTAAAGTATTTATTGATACTATAAACTTTAATCTGTTGAATTTCTTCAAATCAGTATATTGAAATAAGTTGATTCCCATCAAGGCATCACCCCTTATGATTCTTGATTTCCATCATGGGTTGTGATCGTCCTTTATACATGGTATCATATCCTCATAATTCGATTTTTACAGGAGCCAGGACATATCAAATGGGAAGAAGTTTCAACACAACCATATAATTTAGGAGAAGAATGCATTCAAACAAATTATTATGGAGCAAAGAGGATGGTTGAAGCTTTCATGCCTCTTCTCTTGTTGTCTGAATCTCCAAGAATTGTTAATGTTTCATCTAGTTCTGGAAAATTGAAGGTAAAAACCTAAATTATCTAATAATTTGTCCTTGGTGCATCTTAACTTTAACATTGATTTCATAACACAAACTTGTCAAATAACGTTTTTACCATGTATATATTAAAGAGAAAATTCATGAAATAACCAAAATTGAGAGGGTGTTTTAAACATTTAACCAAGAAAATTTGAGTTTTGGAAAATGACCACGAGATCCGCAGAGGGGGCTCTGCGGATCGCTTTAAACCTCTGAGGAACGATGAATAGTACCGAGGAATTGACGTGACATCACTAAAAGACAAAAAAAATATGGTAGGTACCATGGTTCCGCAGAGGTGGCTCTCTGCGGATCCATTTAACCCTCTGCGGAAGTTTAAATTCTCTGAGGAAATGGTAGTTGCTCCTCTCCGATAGATCCGCAGAGCCGTCTCTGCGGATCCCTACAACACCTCTGCGGAATTGTTGATTTCTCTACGGATCCCACCATACTTTTTGCGGATCTCGTGGTCATTTTCCAAAACTCAAATTTTCTTGGTTAAGTGCTTAAAACACCCCCTCAATTATGGTTATTTCATGAATTTTCTCTATACTAAAAGATGGTTGAATATTAGGCATGAAGACCATATAAGTAATGCTCAAGTGCTAATAGTAAAATTTTAAATAAGATATATAGACTTATACATGTAACATAATTTTTGATCAAGCTACTAAAATTATCCGTTGTTTTGCAGTTTGTAATCAACGAGTGGGCTAGTGACATCTTAAACGACATCAAAGCTCTCAGTGAAGAACGAATCGACATGATTCTTGAAGTTTTTCTTAAAGATTTAAAAGAGAATTCATTAGAAACGAAGATGTGGCCTACATTCTTATCGGCATACACAATATCAAAAGCAGCCATCAACGCATACACAAGATTGTTGGCGAAGAAGCATCCAAGCATTATCATAAATTCTGTTTGCCCAGGATATGTGAAAACAAGTATAAATTACTTTTCAGGATACTTGAATGTTGAAGAGGGTGCACAAAGTATCACGAGGCTTGTGTTACTACCCATGGATGGGAATTCTGGTCTTTTCTTTTATAGAGATGACATATCCTCATTTTAGTTGAAAACGATGGTTTGTACTTTGCAGTTATGGAGGTCTTTATCATTTTTAATATATGAAACTTAAGTCTTATATCTTTATTTTGGATATTCATGAAGCTAGCTCATATAATTGAAAATGTTTGTAGGATAACTAATTACAAGATCATTGAACATCGATCCACTTTCTTCATAACGGGTTGGATGCTTTATGGTTCTTGTAGGCCGATCCGGAATGGTTGTGGTTGGTCGAGGATTCCAGATCGCATCTCTAAACATCAAATAAATGAGATAAAAGGTCAACTTAGTGTAAAAGATAAAAATCAAATAAAAAATAATAAATTAAAGAGTGTATATAATATATGTAATAAAAGCGTTCCAAAACGAAACTTTTGACTTCATTTTTACCAACAAATAACTTATCTATCTCGATTTTAACACCTTTTATTTTATGTTATCAAGTTAATATAACATATTTTTATTTTATAATGTATTAAAAATTGAATCTTGACGTATCTATTTGTCAATTGACTATCGACCGAGCGATTATAAGGAAGATCGATTGTAATCCACAATTGATATTTTTACTTGAATTGATGTTCTAAACAATGTTTTAAAAACCGGTTTCAACCGGCCGGTCGAACCGGGAACTAGAAAAATGTGAGTGCACTAGCACCAGTTTTATGTCTATTTCTGAACCGAAATGAATCGACCGGTTTTTACAAAAAAAAAACCCCGGTTGAACCGGTTAAATTAAATCCGTTGAACCAGTTAAATTAAATAAAAACACATGAAAATTAATCATTTTCATAACAAACTTTAGTTTTTTTCATATCTATTTGGATTTCTTTGAGTAAAAACACATGATAACCGTTGTAAAGTTTTTTAATGTGTTTGTATTCATCTAAAACCATATTTTCTTTATGTATTATATTTTATTTAAGGGAAATCTCCAGAAAATTCCTAAAATTTTACCCTAATTTACGAAAAAGTCACAAACTAAAATTTTGTTTACGAAAAAGCATGAATTACCGGTAAAAATGGCAATTTGACCTTTTTTTCCGGTTTACCGGTTTTATTACTTACATGTTTCACTAAAGTCCCATTATTTTACCTTAATTTGCGAATAAGTCCTAAAATAAAATTTACTGATGATTTGGTCATTTTCTTCTTGTAACATACATTTTATCGGTTTCATTGTTGACTTAGACACCTAGTCATTAAATTAGCTGATAAAATGAATACGATGGGTTATATAATGTCACATTTACTGTAAAATTTGATATCCATCTCATCGGCTCATTTGTGACTATGTATCTACGTCAGCAATGAAACCAATAAAATATGTGTTTCCAAGAAAAAAGGGAAGAAAATGAGTTGATGTCCGATGAGATGGATATATTGGGTTACATAAGATTAGATAGACAATTTGATATTTTTTATAAACGTAAAAAATAACGCACTTGTTGTTAGTTTATGTAATTATTGTAGTCTTCGTTGGATACATTTTATGTTCCAAAAAGATATACAATACATCAGGATATCAAGTTTTATGCTAAACATAGCATTATATAACTCAACATATCCATCTCATCATCTTATTTAATGACTAGACGTCCGGGTCAGCAATAAAACCGGTAAAATGTATGTTACATAGAGCAAATGGCCAAATCATCAGTAAATTTTATTTTGGTACTTATTCACAAATTAGGATAAAATAATTGGACTGTAGTGAAATAGGTAAGTAATAAAACTGGTAAACCGGAAAAGGGGTCAAATCGCCATTTTTATCGGTAATTCATGCTTTTTCGTAAACAAAATTTAGTTTAAGACTTTTTCGTAAATTATGGTAAAATTTTAGGACTTTTCTGGAGATTTCCCCTTTATTTAATTTTTGATATACGTAGATTGATATAGAACTTACAGCTATTTATTTTTAATGCATTTGGATTGATCTTCAACTTGTATTTATGTGTATATATTTTTTTAATGTTTAAACTTGTGGATGTCTATATGTGTGTAGGAAAATAGAAAAAATATGGAAATTATAAAAATCGGTTGAACCGGGAATCGGTCACACCAGTTCAACTGAAAAACAGGTTTTTAAAACATGGTTCTAAACATTTTAATACTGGTCAAGGAAAATAAGAGCCAAATAAGGAGACTAAACCTATCTTGTAACATCCATAAAATTTAAACTTTTCAAACAATCATTTTTCTATAGAAGTGTTTACAAAAAAAAACATATGTTTCCAAAACATTATTTAAAATCAGAATCTCTTTCAACATAGTTTTCAAAACATTCACATTATCAGAGGTTCCCAGAAATCATAAGTCCAAAACGCGAGGATGTGTACGGTTACCGAAACAAGATCCGCTGAAGTACCTGAAACCATAAACCAAAACTGTAAGCACGAAGCTTAGTGAATTCCCCCAAAGTACCAACACCCAACCAGATAACATATACAACTAACAGCATGCATACAGAGCCTTCAGCATGACTGGAACGCCCCCACCGACCTACAGTCTATCTGGTACGCCCACAGAGTCTTCAGTATAACTGGAACGTCCCACTGGCCTACAGTCTATCAAGTACGCTCACAGAGCCTTCAGTCTGACTGGAACGCCCCATTGGCCTACAATTTATCTGGTACGCTCACAGAACCTTCAACATGTCTGGACCGCCTCACCGGGCCTTCAGCCTGTCTGGATCATTCTCCAGGCCTTCGGCCTGAGTGGTACGCCCCACTGGCCTTCAGTCTATCCGGGACGCCCTGGGTCTGTTGGCCTTCAGCTCAAAGCAGGTCCACCTCAACCCAACCATACACACAAACCATGTCGACATATATAGGGCTGTAAACGAACTGAACGTTCAACGAACTGTTCATGAACCGTTCGGCGGGAAGTTCATTTATGTTCGTTTAGTTATACGAACGAACATGAACAAATGTCTCGTTCGTTCAATTATGTTCGTGAACGTTCATTTATGTTGTTCGTTTATGTTTGTTTATGTTTGTTCATATAAGTTCCTTTTATCTTCATATATGTTTAATTGTGTTTGATAACATTACTATATTATATGTTCATTTATGTTCATATATGTTTGTTTATCTTTGTTCGTTTATGTTTGTTTAGCATGTTCATGAACATAAACGAACAAACATGAACAATAAAATTTGTTAAACGAACGAACATGAACAAGAAAACTCGTTCGTGTTCGTTCATTTGTTCGGTTAACTTAAACGAATGAACATGAACAAGCCCCGTTTGTGTTCGTTCGGTTAGTTTACAGCCCTAGAAGCAGTACAGTCTCAACCGATATAAACATTACATAATGTACCGATATAAACATTACATGGTTTGTTGACTGGCAACACGAAGCAGTACAGTCTCAACCCAACCACACTACATCAACAAATGCTACTGGAAAACATATAGCCAGAACAGATAACAAGCAGATCTAACAGATCACTAAACATAGCATCATCCTATCTACCAGGATACCGATCTAACAGATCATCACAACATAGCAACATCCTATCTACCAGGATACTGATCTAGCAGATCATAACAATACAATAGCCAGCATAACAGGATATCAATCTAATGGGCCGATATTAGTGCCTTCGACCCGCAAGTACAGTGAGGACAACTTACCTCGAATGCAGAAGCTCCCGGAAAGAAATCCCTAGCTACTGCCCTGCCGGCTTCCCGAGCTCTCAATACCAACAACACACCCAATTAGCAATTGGGTTCCATGCTATAATCCACAATCCATACCCGGGGTAAAATGACCAATTTACCCCTAACCCAACATACACCAAGACTGAGGCCCAAAACCAAAAGATCCACAAGACCCACTAATGGCCCAATTTGGACCCATATGAGCCTTATCCTAAGCCCATGATTTACCTAATTAATATTCAGATTACTTCAAGCACCCCTTGGGACAAACTTGGTCAAAGACACAAATCGAAAGTCAAAGTCAACGGTCCAAGTTGACCCAACTCGTCGAGTTGTCCTTCAACTCGTCGAGTTTCTCCATCAATTGTACAGATCGGGAAAAACCAAGTCAACTCGCCGAGTTGACCACAAACTCGCCAAGTTCCTCTATTAGTCTAAAAATGTCTGGGAAAACCGAGCCAACTCGCCGAGTTTATCCAACAAACTCGTCGAGTTCGCCAGACACCCACCTCTTAATACATTAAGCACTTAATCCACAAGGACATGACTCCAAATCATAGATCTAACTTCCTTGAGCTGGAAAACCACGTAAAGTTGCCAACTTTACGTTCATGCATGTCTAAATGAAGCTCTTAAGCTTGGAATGGACTTAATAGATGACTTAATGCATGCATGACACCAAAATCCTCATCAAGTTTGCACCTTTAAGCTCAAGGGTACCAAAACCAACTCATATCTGAAGGAACAACCCCTAAAATGACTTTACTCCATCATCATCCCCAAAAAGAGGCCAAAACACAACAAAACCCAAAATAAGGAGATCTAATCATCCATAAGTCAAGGTATGAACTTGATACCTTAAAGTGACTGCAAGAAATGGAGTGATTCTGGACCCAAGACTTCCTTATCTAAACTAGAAACTTCAAGATCTTCTAATTCCTTTACAATGCACAAAATGAGCACCGAACTTCCTTCCAAGGCTCCAAAAACTTGACAATGGAAGCTGATAAGGAGGCCAGAAGAAAGACATAAGGACTTTAAATAGGGTGCAACACCTTAAAATTTTGGGTTTCTCAAACAGTGTCCAACTCGTCGAGTTTCCTTCACCAACTCGCCAAGTTGGTCCTTAAAACACGCGTCCCAAAAGCCTTCAACACGTCGAGTTTACACCAACAACTCGACGAGTTGGCCCTTAGAAAAGGGAATTTATTTTCATAATTGACCTTCTAGATTCCGGGTGTTAAAACTCTCCCCCAGTTAAATTAAACTTCGTCCTCGAAATCGCTCCTTATTAACACCCATATCAAAACGACCAATCCTGATGATCACAAACGAAAATTTTGCGCCTAAGACAATCTTCCCATGGCAACCGGAACCCGAACCGAAACTTCCATTCTGAAGACAACAATCAAAACTTCAGCCCATGCAAACCACTTCTACCTTTCTGAGACCTGAAATCTATAATGGTCTTACT